TAGTAGTGGTAGTAGTAGTAGTAGTAGTAGTAGCAGCAGCAGCAGTAGTAGTAGTAGTCGTAGTAGCAGTAGTAGCAGTAGTCGTAGTAGTCGTCGTCGTCGTCGTCGTCGTCGTCGTAGCAGCAGCAACAACAACAGCAGCAGTAGCGGTAGCTGAAGCAGCACTGGCAGCGGCAGCAGCAGCAGCAGCAATAATGACTTCCGCAGCAACAAGGGTTTCCGATTTGACACCGGCCTTGTCGTCGGCCTCATGTAGGCCGTTGCTTTCCCTTGAGCCTGGGCTTGATTATATCGAGCCCTCAACCAAGGGCGGGCCTTGGGGGTACAGGGTAGAAAGCATGGAGATATGGGAGATTCCGAAAACAAGGGGGTACCTTATTTTTGGGGCCTTATAATAAGGATCCTACGATTTAGGGTGCTATATTGGGGCACCCTATTTTCGGAAACCCCCATATAGAATCCTGATGTCGAAGTTCTGTTGATTCGGGTTTTGGTGGGCTCCGAGAGGTGACCTTGGGTTCTCGGACGTCTCCACCGAAGTAGAGCAGGGGCTACATGGCAGCATATTATGCCATAACACGAAACAGAAGAAACGACCATATCCCAGTGCCATGCTGTAGCCTGGCATACGCATACGCTGCACCATCCCTCGAAACAATGCGATGTAAGCCACACCGAAACTTGTTCAGCTCTAATTGTTCTAATTTCCCTAAACCCTACACCCTACACCCTAAGCCCTACACCCTAAACCCTAAGGGCCAGCAGCATCCCCTCAGTCCAAGACTACGGCCCATGCTAATACTACAGGGGTTTAGGGTTAAGGGTTTATGGTTAAGGGTGTAGGGTTTAGGGTTTAGGGTTTAGGGCCGAACCCAACCCAACTTGAACATCAGGCCCAAACAGGCAGACATGAAATCTAAACAGAAGCATTGTACGTACTTGTGAAAAGAAAAAGAAAACGAGAGCACTGGAATTTCCAGTAATCAACATAAGCAGCAAGAATTCCAACAAAGACTTTGGTTATAGTTTCTAAGAACAATACTGGCAGCTTGCAGCATGACTCATGACTTTTGGTTGCAATCGCAAGCGACTATGCTGCAACCACGGCAACGACGACAACCACAACGACAGGTCATGAAAAGGGCCAACCAAGACGACTACGAAGACGAAGACGACCACGTCGACGACGACGACGAGCTACAGCAACAGCAGCAGCACGAGCAGCTCCACCAGCTGCAGCAACAGAAAACAACAAACAAAAACACAAAGGACGCAGATCCTTCAACCTCCGTGCTGTCGGCTGCTACCGGACAATCCCACCATCAAAAGGACCCCGGCATACATAGATCCTGCAAGGTGCGATCCTTCTTCTGAAAGGAATCCCCGGCAATTACAGTAGCTCTCAGATACCCCAAACCCTGAAGCAACAAACACTAGAGACCACAGTCGGTATACAACCTTCTCAAAATCTAAACCCACTCCAAACCCCTCTAATTTACCCTAGACGGCTCTCAACCTAAACGCGAAGTCCCCTTTGATCCTAAACACTAAACCCGAACTGCCTTTGACCCTAAACTCCAACCCCCAAGGGTCCAAGTACCTAATAATCATATACTCTCCCAAATAGTAACCTACATAACTACTATCCGAAACCTACGTACCTAGGACCCTTGCGGTAAGACCGTATTTTACCCTACCTTTAACCCTAAACCCTAAGACCCTAAACCCTAAAGCCCAAACCCAAAGACCCTAAGCCCCTAACCCCCTAAACCTTAAACCCTAAACCCTAAACCCCAATGCCCCTGAACCCCTGAACCCTGAGACGCTATTTAACCCTCAGACCCCTAAACTCCAAACCCTAAACCCTAAACCCTAAACCCTACCAAGGGGCGCGTCGGCTTCGATCTCCTCAGGCTCCTCCTCGGAGTTCTCGGCTTCCGCACCCTGCATGTGGGCAGTTCTCTCTAGGGGTTTAGGGTTTAGGGGTTTGGGTTTAGGGTTTAGGGTTTAGGGTTTAGGGTTTAGGGTTTAGGGTTTAGGGTTTAGGGTTTAGGGTTTAGGGTCTAGGGCTCCTTAAACGGATCTATAAATGGGGTTTAAAGTTTATAGGGTTTAGGGGTTTAGGGTTTAGGGTTTATAAAAGGTTTTCTTTGGGCGGGTTCTTGTAAAGGGTACTCTGTTTTTTTCAAGGGTTCTATATGAGAAGTGTTCTTTAGGGCCCCTTTCAGGGTGTAGGGTTTAGGGTCCTTTTCGAAGGGTGCCGCCGCCTTCTTTTGGGCTCTTAAAGAAGCACACTAATTTAGAGAACTACCCATGTGAAGGGGGGGTTGGTTTAGGGCTGCAGGGCTCTCTGAAATGGGTCTAAAGGTTTTTGGGTCTATAAGGGTTTGGAGGTTTAGGGCGCAGAGTTTCGGGTGTGGGCGTCTACTTTAGGGCTTTTGGGACGTTGAGGGATTACGGCTACGGGGCAAGATTGTAGCTCCCGAGCTTCGGCGTCGAGGTCTTTCTTTGCCTTCGAACCCTTGGCTCTGGTTGTTGATATCAGGGTTTAAGGTTTAGGGTTTACCTTAAACTTGCTCGTATGCTTTCTTCGTACAAGAAATGTAAAATGTAGGTTTTCGGCGGTTAGGGCTAGGGTGGGGCTTGGGTTGTGAGGGCAGTAGGTCATCGAGGAAGTGCAGTCATTTCTGGTTCAGGGTTTAGGGTTTGGGGTTGAGGGTTTAGGGGTTTCGGGCTTAGGGCCTAAACCCCCAAATCCTAGACCCTAAACCCTAAACCCTAAACCCTAAAAACCGGGTAAGGGTTCTTGAAGAGCTCAAGGCTTCGGCTTAGGGCCCGCAAGGGGTTCGATGCTCTGGGCTGAGACTTTAGAGCTACACAGCTCCAGGCAGCGTTGCTAAGGCTTAGGGTTTACGGTTCGACCTCCCCCGAAGCCAAGCATCCCTAATCCCTAGACCTGAGTCCTGAAACGTAAAGCCTTCGACCGCAAACCTAAGCCCTAAACCCGAAAAAGGAAAAACAAAAAACAACAATCCATGAACACGAACATATGAAGCCTGAACCCTAAGCACAAAAGGTCCCCCAAAGGCCCTACACCCTGAACCTCACCTCTTTCACGGTCAAGAGGGCGACCCCTCCGATTCGTACCTGTGCAGGGAAGCTGTTGAGTTCGGGGTCTTTCATTAATTTGGAGGTGAAGGTTTGAAGTTTAGGTTTAGGGTTTAGGGTTTAGGGTTTAGTGCTTAGGAGTTAGGGATAGGGGGAACCTTGGGCATATAGACCCTCTCAATAAGGTCCCTTTGAAGAGAGCCACAAGTAGCGTTCAGAAGGGTCCCATTTAAGGGGTCTCCTTAATTTTACCTAGGAGGGTTGGGTTTAGGCTTAGGGCTTAGAGTTTTGGGTATGTTGGGACTTGGGTGTTCGTTGGAATGCTTTGGCGTCATAAAGTTTAGTGTCTGGGCGCTGCATAGCCAGCGCCAGCATGCCAACCGATTCTTATGCACGTTAACAAATAGAATATGGTCTCGGAGTATACTAAATATAACAGCATAATAGTTCAGCTAGAAGGAGACTATAAGGGAATCTACCAGGTTGCCGCATGCGCAGGAAAGGCATTTCTGAATGGGAAACGGAGGGCCGAGATTCTTCAGGACTTGAGGTGATGTAGGATATCATGGCTACTGTCACGGCAGTCTCAATCTGAAGATATAGTTACATCCTCATCTTAGGGGCTGAGTACCCTAGCCCAAAAAAGGTTAACCTTTTGAAGTATAGTAGGATTATAAGAGCCCCAAAAGGTTAAAGGTTACCTACTCAGCCACTAAGTCATTGCTGTTGTAGGATGCCTGGCCTCACCCCCGACTGGCTGCAAAGCGAAATCCTCGTCGACTTCGTCGGCAATCTCCCAGAGCTGCATTACCTCAGGATTCAACGTTGACTGTTGGTACTTGGAGGCCCAGGGGACTTAGTAAGTCGATTGTAAGTAGGGTTATAATTGGGGTAAGTCCAGCGTTGGGGTACTTATAACTCTACTAATAACCGGCTTACTAAGTCCCCTGGGCCTCCAAGTAGGTCTAGGCAGGGGAGCTTTTCTAGAGTTCGAGGCTTAGGCTTAGAAGTTCAGGGTGCGGGGTTCAGGCTTTGAAGCTCTGTAAAGGCTGCGTCGCTCTGTCAAGAACATGGAGTTAGGCCTGTCTTGGTGCAGAGAACAAGACTCACAAGGGAGCCGGTGTGGTCCAAGCCCCAGAGCTTGAACCTTGCCTAAACACTGGCCCCTACAACTCAGGTTCAAACGAGGCTATCCAGCATTGCAGTACGTTCTTAAATGGAGTTCACAGTAAGGACAAACAACTAGAACCCTAGTCATTAGTCCAGAATAGGCCTTAGACGTCATAAACTCGGTGAAAGCCGCTGCGCAGATTCAGATGTACACCTCCACGGCTAGTTCAAGCAGGCTGTCAAAAAGGAAAGTAAAGATATGTGATCAAACTACAACACCAAAGGACTTGAGTTAATCCGTCTCTTACATTAAATCCCTAACGCCCTGCATAGAGACCTTACGCTCCTACCAATCCGTTGAAAAAACAAGCACCTGAACACCCTGGAGCCTAGCTCCCAACCCCAAACTCAAAGCCCTAGGCCCTCGTGAATCCAAGCGGCACCGTCCCACGCACTGGACAACGCCACTCCGAGCTCCCAGTCGATGCAAAGGCTGCGGACGCCCTGCAGATGTCCGCTGATCAGCCTGCGTCTTATGGGTTTAGGGTTTATGGTGTACCTAAACCCTAAACCCTGAACCCTAAACCCTAAGCCCTAAACCCTAAACCCTAAGCCCTGAACCCTAAACCCTAAACCCTAAGCCCTGAACCCTAAACCCAAAGCCCTAAACCCTAAAGCTGAGGGTTTAGGGTGTACGGTCCTGGATGCGGGTTCCTGGGCCTAGCATTTTTGATCTTCGGAAAGTTAGGTGAAATGGCAGGTTTAGAGGAGATTCTGTGCTGTTATAACCGGAGGTATAGGCTTCGAGGCTTCTATAGGCTTTTGTCGGCCCTCATCTGGGTTTAGGGTGTTAAATACTGTTACATCATAATTGTTTTATTCTGAAGGGTTCTGCGGAATTTTGTAGTGGACAGGGTGCCAAACTCCCTCAAACAAATATCACCATAACCACTCGTGCTGATAGGATAGCCGGCACAAGCAACTCCACAGTGTCCTACCGAAGCAGCACCAAGACCCTGAATTGTCGTACGTTTTCGGCTTACCCTCTTGTTATAGTAACCTACTACTATTCCGAGTCTAGGTAACCCAAGTGGTACGGTATGGATCCCCACAATGCTAACTGTGACGGAGGCGCGCTACATGGCTGAGGGTGCCCCGAAACCCTAAACCCTAAACTCTCACAGTGTGAGGTCAACTGTTGTTGAACAACCTTCCTATTCAAGGCTCGGGGATTGGGGTGTGTCTCCTGGGTCTACTTCAGGGCCCTGATGATTGGAATAGGTTTCTGGGCTTTGGGGTATACCACTGTATATATAAATATGTACATACATACATACATGCATACATACATACATACATACATACATACATATAGATAGATAGATATGTAGCGACTATAAACCCTAACCCCTAAAATTTCAAGCTGCAACCGCGATGGATCCACCCTCCTGGTGTTCTTAGCAAACCCGATTGAATAGGCTGATAGGTGTGAGGGCAAGACCACCTTTAAGAAGATGCTTGATTGGGAGTTTCCGAAAATTAGGGGTACCTTATTTTGGGGTCCTTGTATTAAGGATCCTATTACTCAGGGTACTATATGAAGGTCCCATTTTTTTCTGAATCCGAAAGACATTCCTCATTCCACAAGGAAACCCCTTAAACCCTACAACCCTCATGCTGGCCTCCTTCGGGTTGAGGATACCTGTGGCCCAAAAAAAACCCGCCTTTTTACGGACTTATATCTACAAACCATGATCAGGAGCCCTACAAAGGTAGATTCTTTCGGCTACAGGTAGGGCTTAGGATTCAGAATGGCTTCGACCCTGAACCCTAAACCCTAAACCCCTAAACCCTAAACCCCTAAACCCTAAACCCCTAAACCCTAAACCCTAAACCCTAAACCCTTAATCCGAAACCCTCGGCCTGATGCATTCCGCGCGCGCCAAGTTCCAGAGCCGTATTGACTTGTCCGCCGACCCTGCAACGTGTCGGGTTGGAGGTGGAGGCTTCGGGTTGAGGGCTTCTAGGGGGTTTAGGAGTTTAAGGTTTAGGGTTTAGGGTTTAGGGTTTAGGGTTTAGGGTTTAGGGTTTAGGGTTTAGGGTTTAGGGCTTTTTTGGGGCGTCGTATTCTTGTCCAACTGATGCATGCAAACGTGGCCGAAGTATAAGCTCGAACTTCGACCTCCAAGTCATCGACCACAGCAGCGAGAGCCCCAAAGTTTCTGACATAGTTTAAGGAACGCTCTTTCAACAGTAAGCTGGGCTCTTGTTAAGGGATTTAATTTAAGTTACCATAATATGGATCTATGGCAAATAATATGGTTTCCCTATTATGGTAACTTAAATTAAATCCCTTAACAAGAACCCAGTAAGACTATCCTCGATGAACATATCAGGTATAGAGGAACCTCGCGTATGATTTGCCGAAATCTGTGCTGCCACAGTAGTCCTTCACTATCTTCCTCAAGCCTCTATTCCGGAAGCCAGCTGAGTCCAACACAAACCTGCCTGTAATGCTGTCGTTGCCCGTGCCCCCACCCCTTGCCCAATCAAGCGAAAGCTGCTGTTGAAAGCCCTAAACCCTAAACCCTAAACCCCTAAACCCTAAACCCAAAAACCCCTAAACCCCTGAACCCTAAACGCTAAACCCCTAAACCCATGCCGCCTGAAAACGCTCTCTTCAGTTTCCACTGCACCGAAATCGCGGTGATGCTGCCCTTGTGTCCTAGCAGCTCTTTCAGGTGTCGATGGCTTAAGTTTAGGGTTGAGCTTTTGACACAGGGTACTGATATGAAAGGCGAGGTTGGAAATGGCGAGGCTCACAAGCGATTCGCACGCGCAGTCTGGAATTCTACGGCATCGACATGGAAAAGTACCCGCGGCATGCCGAAATATTCCTTCCACATGCCGGATATGCCTACACACAAACTACGGGAAGGCTTGCTTCATACACCTGCAAGGTTCTGGGCTTAGTGGCTTCGTTTTCGACCTCTTGGCCCTTGAGGACAAAGGAACGAAGATGTAGGTTCCGACGCACTTGGCCTCAGCATCTGAATTGCACGACTTCCTGGGCTGCTGACCTCCAAATCAACAACGAATAAGCTTGCAATGCAAGCTTTAAACCTTGAGCCCAGACAAGAAAAAGGTCCCGAAGTATTCTGAACACGGTGATGATCAAGTTGCCGGATCGGTTGTAGGTTTGCTGTAAGAAGGGTGTAAACTCAAGGCACAGGCCGCCCACCCACTGTGGGGCGCGCTTAAGGCCCCTGGACCGTGGGGCGCCAGCGACCCCGCTCACCAGCATGGAGATCGTAGCACCAATGTGGGACCCGTAGAGGGGACTGGTCCCCAAAAAAAACCCTTAAGGAACGTGTTTTAAATTGTCTGGGGCTTCGTATTCTGATGTAAGCTGTATTATTCAAAGGTATTCCCAGACCCCCAAAAGGATCTAAAAAATAGATCCCCTAATTAGGGACCCTAACTACCAAAGGGTACTTTATAGGAACCCCCTTAGGGGATCTATTTTTTAGACCCTAAACCCTAAACCCTAAACCCTAAACCCAAAGGCTCTCCGGGGACCACATTGCCCAGCACTCTGGCCCGGAGGCCGTTGGTCGGGGCTCGGAGCGCTCCGGGGGCCTCTGGGGGTTTTTGGGGGCTTCTGACAACGGTTTAGGGTTTAGGGTTTAGGGTGCGTTTTTGAATGAATTTTAGCCCAAGCCTTTTTAAACGGACAGGCATGGGGTGGGATAGAACTGAGGCAGAACAGTCTAATTCGTACGATGTGCAAAAAACCCAAACCCTAAAACCCTGCAGCCCGAAGCCCGAAAAGTTTGCAAGCCCAGACCCCAACCCGAAGCCCTAAACCCTAAATCCCAAGCCCTAAACCCCTGAAGCTCCGAATCCAAAACTCGAAAACCCTAAAGCCCCAACACCCTGTCGCACCCTGAAGCCCTACAAACACAGCCGCGATCCTCGTAGGGAAGACTGGGAAGCAGCCATCGGAAGGCCCCAAATCCTCGTTTTTTAAAAGGGATCCCCAAATCCTAGTTTGTTAAAAAGGAATTCTAAAAGGCAGGGCTTATAGTATAGGGGTTAGGCAAGGGTTTAGGGATTAGGGTCGAAAGCTGATTATAGGGGCCTGTTTTCTGCCTGAAGGTATGCTAGCTGGGAAAAGCCCGCGTGGGGCAGGCAAACGTTGGGAAGTGCAAACTCTCAGAAATGGTAGCTCTCAAATCCCTATCGGAGTTGTTGTACGCTCATATCTCCCACCAAGCCTGCAAAAAAAAACCATAAGAAAATCCATGCTTCCGGAGCGGTCGAAACAGGGATCGGTTAAGGGATTGGGGGTTTGCAGGGTTTAGTGTTTACCCATAGGCCCCTTAGTACTTCCTTTTTGGGATTACCTAATAGGATCCGAAATAGAAGCCGCAAATAGGAACTGCTATGGGGCCTATGGGTAGTGTTTCGTTTATGGGGGATCCCACAGTCTCTGCTGGGAATGTGTTTTCAAGCTCCAGGACCCTTCACGTTGTCAGCATACTTCGGCCTCGGAGGTGTCTAACATAGAATAAAAAACAATAGTAATAATGATAATATACATGTTTATGTTGATAATATACATATTTATGTATATTATTATAGCCATTCTATAAGGAGATAACAAGGAAAAGCATTAGAAATGGGTTTAAGTTTAGGGTTTGGGTTTCGGGTTCAGGGTTGAGGGTTTAGGACTTACTGTTTATGGTTTCGAGTCCCAAAACGCTTCTGCTTGCTTTTGCGTGGGAACGGCATCCACGATGGGCAACGCCGGGAGTGGTTGCGCTGAGATGTGGGGACACTTGAGCTTTAGACGGTTTAGGGTTTAGGGTTTAGGGTTCAGGGTTTAGGGGTGTTTGGGTTTAGGGTTTAGGATTCGAGCACACAATCAGCTACCCTAAGCCGCAACAGTAGCTCAGACTATTGGGCTTTTGCTGAACCACTGCGTCTTGGGGTTTAGGAGCCTTGCTACTCCAAACTCTATGGTTTAGGGTTTAGGGTTTAGGGTTTAGGGTTTAGGGTTTAGGGTTTAGGGTTATTTTTGCCAGGGTGTCTGCAGGGATCCACCATCGAAGCCCACCAACGCGCGAGCCTGGATGCAAAGGCTTCTCGGGTCGGATGCTGAGGCGATGCAGAGAACGGGATCATGATGGAAATGTCGGGTTCGGTGACAAGTGAGGGTTTTGGATCATACAGGGGCCTGAATAATTAGAATAGGGTGTTGGGGTATATTATACTGTAATTTTCAAAGGGAATCCCGAAAAATAGTATAGGCAACGATTAAGGCCCCTATACTAAATTTCTGGGTGAGACACGCAGGGTATGAAGAAGACGAGGGTTCGGATAAACGGCTCGGCCGCACACCTGAGCCTGGTAGAAGCTGCTTCTAGACAAGGCCCCAAACCACTAAAACCTACAAAAAACCATAAACCCTAAACCCTAAACCCTAAACCGCAAGCCGTATAAGTCTAAACCTTGGCAAGCCTTTTTGCAAAAACCCTCATGGAATCCTTACATAGCCCGCATAGATGCTGCACAGATCCCGTGTGAGCACCCTATCAAGTCCCTAACGGCTCCCTGAAAATCCCAGAGAAGTCGGACCAGAAAGCCAAGAGGTTTAAAGTTTGGGGTTTAGGAGTTCGGACTTCAGGGGTAGTTCTCTAAAGTAGGGTCCGTTTTTGGGTCCCCAATATAGTGCGGCACCCTTATGAGAAGGACCCTAAAAGGGACCCCCATTTAGAGAACTACCCAAACCTTTGAGTTAGGGTTTCGGGTTTAGGCAGGGTCGAGGGCTTTGGGCTTTAATGTAGGGGCCTTACAAAATTAGAGTAGGGTTTTGGGCTCCTTTATGGTTTAACTCTAAGAAGGAACCCTAAGAATGATATAGATAGTCATTTAGGCTTCTATATTAGGGTTCCTGGACCTAAACCCTAAACCCTAAACCCTAAACCCTAAACCCTAAACCCTAAACCCTAAACCCTAAACCAGTTTAGGCTTTACGGCTTCGGGCTTAGGGTCACGGGTTCTCGGACGTTTAGGGTTTAGGGCTCACGGCCAAGAGACCTTCGACCAGGATACATCCAGTGCCGTGACCAGGGAGTGCCTTTCTAGTAGGACTTCCAGGCTTCAGGGCGTTTGGGTTGTTTTTTTGTTTTACGGGCGCCCTAAACCCTAAACCCTGAACTCTAAACCCTAAACCCTCAACCCTAAACCCTGAACCCTAAACCCTAAACCGTTTAGGGTGTAGGGTTTGTGGAGTTTAGGTTTAGGACTTGGGGTTTGGGCTTTAGGGCTTCCAAGGCGGAGCCTGGCACATCCCAAATTGAAGCCTTTCCGGTTTAGGGTTTAGGGTTTAGGGTTTAGGGTTTAGGGTTTAGGGTTTAGGGTTTAGGGCACATCCCAAATTGAAGCCTTTCCGCTACTGGTTGTGGGGCTCTTGGTTCAGGATTTAAGGTCCGGTGGCATGACCGTAAAAACTTAATCTGAGGCACGCGCGGTTTAGTTTAGGGGTAATGTAGGCGCCTGAATAATTAGACAAAGGGCTTTGGGGTATGGTATACTATAAATATAATACGGAACCCCCCAAAATAGTATAGGTACTTACTTAGGCCCCCTATACTATGGGGCTTTAGGGTTTCGAGCTGTAAGCTTAAAGGCAGGAGAGTTCAGGCTTGCATCAGTTTAGGGGTGTCGGGTTTTAGGGTTTAGGCTTTAGGGTGTCGGGTTTTAGGGTTTAGGGTTTAGGGGTGTCGGGTTTGAGGGTTTGGGGCTTTAGTGCTTCCGGGTTTAGGGCTGTAGGATGTTCGGGTGGGGCGTAAGGATTTACGGCCTAGTAGCGAGGTCTGGATGTGGGCAGTTCTCCAAACTAGGGCCCCTTTTTAAACCCCACATATAGTACGGCACCCGTTTAAACGGGACCCTAAAAGGGACCCTCATTCAGAGAACTACCCATATAGGGACGATAATGGAATGATCCGGTAGGTCATTCCAGAGGAAGTTTTGGGTGCCTGGAACTTGCTTTGGGTCGTAAATAATGGTTGTCAAAAGTTGAAGATCGCGGTGTCGAGAAGCACGTTGTCAGGCTCAGTGCTGCTCCAGGAGTCTTGGGGCTTCTGATGATGCAACGGCATGTCTGCCCTAAACCCTAAACCCCCACGGTTTAGGGTTTAGGGTTTAGGGTTCCCTAAACCCAAAAACCTAAACCCTAAACCCGAAACCCCGAAAACGGCATTTCTCCAAGACCTACACTGAAAAAACCCAAACCCAGGCAACCCCATCCAGTTCCAGCGGCTTGATCGGATAGGCCTGGGCTTGTGGCTTTGGCTGCAAGGGCTGCAAGGCTTCTTACAAGGCTCTTGCCGGGTTTGGGGTCTAGGGGCTATAGGGCTGTTTGGAGCAGGGTCTATAGGGTTTCGTGGTTAGGGTTTAGACTTCTGAGAGGAATTGGGTGGGAATGAAGCATAGTTTCCGAAGCCCGACAGGCTAAACGGTTGGTACAGAAGTCTGAGTGCCCCTCATAGTCCCCATGTAGTGAAACTGAAACACACACCCGAAACCCTATTGCTCGAAAGACTATAGCACTCGCAGTAGTAGAAGTAGTAGTAGTAGTAGTAGTAGTAGTAGTAGTAGCAGTAGTCGGAGGAGGAGGGGGAGGAGTACGAGAAGGAGCAGAAGTAGAAGTGGCAGCAGAATAGTCAGAATAGGGGAAGTAGCAGTAGTCGTCGTAGTCTTCGTCGTCCCCCCCGTCCTGGCGGACGTCGTCGAAGGTAGTAGCAGAGGTAATAGAGTATGATGATGCTAATTTCCACTTTCGCATGTCCGTGTACTGACTGTCAGCCTCTCTCCCCCTTATCTTTATGTCGAAGGGCATCCACAAGCGTCCCATCCCATGAGGAAACGATGCCGCTGATTCCGCAAAGGGCAACATGAAGTCCTAAACCCTGAGTTACCCGGAACAGTGAGAGGTGCAAGCGACGCCACACTGATGGAACAGAGGCGTGCGGTGGGGTTCTTCAATTCGGTGATCGCAGAGTTTGAGCAAGACCAATTATACTCATGCGTAGTCTAGCCGACTCATGGCAACCATAACAATCTACCCGCGCAGTGCCACCTACTATGGTTCATGCTACCCAGCCTTTAATCTCAATGCGATAGTATGATTAACAAGCATTGCAACATTGATTTTGTGCTAGTGTTTGTAGTCGTCGTCATCATCGTCGTAGTCGCAGTAGTGGTCGCTATTGTTGTAGTTGTAGTAGAAGTAGTAAAAGCTGCTTCCAGTGATGCTGTTCGCTTCTGCATTCATACTACTGTCAGAATTTTCGGAGCGTCGCAGCCTGTGCCAGAGGGTCTCTCCCCTCTCATGTTAGCTGACAAGAGACATACAGGTCTCGAAATTAATAATTAGTGTAGCTTTTGGGGTCTTTTTATAAGGATGCCGCCTTATATTGGGGACCTAAACAGGGGCCCTAACTTAGAGAACTCTGGACCCTGAACCCAAACCCAGAAAATGCCCCAGACGCCACATCGCAAGCCTTGGCACCCTCAACCCTAAACCCCTAAACCGCTAAACCCCGAAACCCCTAAACCCCTAAACCCTAAACCCTAAACCCAAAGCCCTAAACCCTCAACCCGAAAAAAAAACGAAGCCCTAAACCCTAAACCCTAAACCCCTAAGTCCAAGAAGCTTTGATCCTTGCACCATCATTCATGGAAAGCAGGTCGAGGTCAGAGTCCTTGAGAAAAAAAGGGTTTGGGGTTGAGGGTTTAGGGGTTTAGGGGTTTAGGGTTTAGGGATTAGGGTTTAGGGTTTAGGTTTTAGGGGTTTAGGGTTTAGGGGTTTGGGGGTTAGGGTTGAGGGTTTAGGATTTAGGGGTTTAGGGTTTAGGGTTTAGGGGTTTAGGGTTTAGAGGTTTGGGGGTTAGGGTTTAGGGTTTGGGGCTGAACATCGAAGATGCAATCAGTCGAAGTAGTCTGCTGTAGGGGTGTACTGTACTAGCGTCGGCTTTGTTTGTAGAGAGAGTCAGGTGGATCGACGCAAAGTATTAGAAGCAGCAAGCGGCTGAAGACAGAAGGAGCAAGGGCACCCCAAAGCCAGGCAAATGTACATACATGCATACGCGTACTTTTTGTCCAGGGGTCAGCGTATCTGCATGATGTTGGGAGAAGACTTATAAAGCCATACATGCTCACGAAAACAGTCATCTAATTATCTTGCCAGGCATCGCCGTGACCCACGAGCATCCGCATCTTGTTCCAGTCGGGATACAGTGAGAGGATCATTCCAACCTTGCCTGGGCGTTTAGGGCTTCATTCATTTTTAGAGAGACTCTAGTAGGCTTTGCTTCCCAGTACCCTGGCCAAAAAAAGTTGAAACTTTTCTTTTAGTAGGGGTTTAATATACAAAAAAAAGCTTACCTATTCGACTCCTAAGTAGAACTTCTCCGACTCCATGTCTAGTTGAGCTTATGCGGACTCTGGCTAAGCAAGTAAGTATATCAGTATGTCTGCCTGCCTGTTTCTCTGTCTGTCTGTCTGCCTGTCTGTCTGTCTGTTTGTCTATCTCTCGCCCTGTCTTTCTGTCTCTCTATGTCTCTATCAAACCCCTAAACCCTAAACCCTAAACCCAAACCCCCAAACCCCTAAACCCTAAACCACTAAACCCTAAACCCTAATCCCCAATCCCCAAACCCTAAACCCTAAACCCAAAACCCTAAACCCCTAAACCCTAAAAGCCAAAACCCTAAAACCCTAAACCCTAAACCCCTAAACCCCCAAACCCCTAAACCCTAAACCACTAACCCCTAAACCCTAAACCACTAAACCCTAAACCCTAATCC